AAAGAAAGCAGCAGCAGCGGAAAAATAGCGATCCTAACGGGGCTTCAGCTCCACTCCACATGCAAAATTTAACTGGGGTCTGAGCCTTGGTCCTCTAACTTCGTCTTCGACTCAGAAGCACTGCACTTCTGAAAAGGAAAAAAATAGCAAGACTGAGTACAACCACCGTACTCAGCAAGCCACACCACCGATGCATTCGTGCAACGGGAGACAAAGGGAGGTTTGTGGCTATTTGCATAAAGGCAGTTGCAAAGCATTTGTAGTTTTAAAAACAGTAAAATAGTTGGTTAATTAAGACAATATTTAATCTCCACTGGTCAACGCTACACCACGTTAAACAGGCCCAACCATCCCACCTGAACTAACCAGCCAATTTATTAAGGGTGAGACTAATCTCGGTGAATCTAGTCGATCGCCCATAACCGCGGGCACGGCTATTCGAATAGTTTCACCTTGGCCAGAGGTGCATAACTATATCCACAAGACACAATCCACTGGCATGTTACATTGCCCGGCCGGACACGTCACCATGTCGAGTGATTGTGACAAGACCCTTCGCATAACCCTCCCCTAACCATCCACACTATGCTGAGGTTTCACCTCCACCCCCTACACCGGGAGTGGACAACGGACACCCTGGCCGACCCAACTCCATCACGCCCACCCTCGCTACCAGTGCCTAGGAAAGAGTCGAGCTATACTACAAGTCAAGCAGTTATCTATTCCCACTTGTGGTAAACGTTGTAAGTCTTTCAGGTTTCCCGTGAACCGGTTCTTAATTGCTATGGGTGCGACTAACAAAACAATGCACCCACAGCCCACCATTAAGTCGCATTTTAATTGGATAGTTACGACTAATGAAACATGGTCGGATGTCTCGAGCACGCAGCTCGTCGCTTTACTCCTACTTCTATATTCCAATATAAGCTAGTTACCACGTAGATTTGGATGTGTTCAGCAAACAGACATTTCAACTTCCTATAACTTAAAAACTACATATTTTTTACCCACAAATATCTTTGTGAGAAAGCATGCGTGTTATACTGTAGGTCCATGCTTTCAGGAATTTCACATCATTTTTAGGCCTTTCTGAGGATATTATGTGTGATTTGCAGGTCCAGAGATGCCTCCTGACAAATTCATGTATGCTCAAACTAACGTTTCTGCATGTAGGCTGTAGCGGTTTCAGCAGCTATTTCTGCAGGTTCAATGTGAAGAAAAATTCTAGCGTTCAAAATATAGTCCTAACAAAAAGAAAAATTGTAGCATTCTGCAGCGTGTGAAAGAAAGAGAGATTGTTTCGTTTTCCGAGCGCACACTTTCCGAACTACTAAATGGTGTTTTTTTTGCAAAAAGTTTCTACAGGAAAATTGCTTTAAAAAATCATATTAATCTATTTTTAAAGTTTAAAATAATTAATATTCAATCCTATAGTTGATCCCCACTAAGGACTATTAATGCTATTTTTCTGCAATTTGGTGCCTCCACGTCATCTCAGTTATTTTGGATCGTTGGATGTCATTTGTGAGGCAAGATATCAGCGCTTGTAGCCTCCAACGCTGGCAGCTGGCTTACGGGAACTGTCTATGGCCACCACGTAGGCTGCCTGTTCACTTCCCCATCAACTCCACGCTCCTGCATGCCGCATTAGTCCGGAAAGGCTAAGGGGCGATCGATCGCTACCAGCTATCGCCAGCGATCGCCCCTAAAACCCCCTCCCTCAACTTTTCTTTTTCGGTACCGTATTACTTTTCTATTTTAGTAATTTTATGCACCTAAAGTTTATACACCTTAAATTTACACATATAAAATTTAGAGACCTAAATTTTATAAGTCAAATGTTTATATATCCGATTCAAATTTAAATTTGAATTCACCTCAAATTTACACATATAAAGTTTAGAGACCTAAAGTTTATAAGTCAAAAGTTTATATATCCGATTCAAATTTGAATTTGAATTCAAATATTTTTTATAGATAGTATTTATATACATCTAAAGTTTATACACCTAAAGTCTATTGACCCCAAGTTTATAAGTCAAAAGTTTATATACTCGTTTCAAATTTGAATTTGAATTATATCCAATTCAAATTTGAATTTGAATTCAAATATTTTTCTTTATATAGTATTTCTATACATCTAAAGTTTATACACCTAAAGTTTATATATCCAAAGTTTATAAGTCAAAATTTTACATACCCGATTTAAATTTGAATTTGAATTTGTTTTTTTCTTTCAAACTAATTTTTTGATTTTGTTATCAAAACCAATCTAAACACACACGTGCACAGGAAGAAGAAACTAACTACACCAATCTAAACAGATTAAGCCGTTGCACATGAGAATGTAAACTGATCGTGCACGGTGATCCTACGCGATCACCCGTGAATTAGGCGGCCCCGCATTAGTCGGACACTCGGGCCTCTGGTTCGGCTTTTTCCACTTCCCCCATCGGCGTGGAGGTTCCTCAAAACTACTACTCCCTTCATTTCTTTTGTTGTACGACGCCGTTGACTTTTTAACCAACGTTTGACCACTCATTTTATTCAAAAATTTTATGTAAATATAAAAATACTTATATACGCCGTTGACTTTTTAACCAACGTTTGACCACTCATTTTATTCAAAAATTTTATGTAAATATAAAAATACTTATATCATGCTTAAAGAACATTTGATGATAAATCAAATCACAATAACATAAATTATAAATATATAAATTTTTTAAATAAGACGAAAGGTCAAACGTTTGTATAAAAGTCAACGGCGTCATATATTAAAATACCGAGGGAGTATCTGTTAGCCTCCCACAGTCCCACCGCCATTGAAGACCTCCAACTTCATGCCATCAAGGCTTTAATCCTCTACTACACATGTAACTGATGCATGTTAGGTTTAAATAGCCTTCACTATATTGGGGCTTATTCCGCTCCATATAAATAGATGTTATGTGGGGAATCGGCTATCAGCGGAAGCGCGCGCAGAAGCAGCGTGAGTCGGACGCAGCGCCGGGATTAGCGTGAGGCCGGCGTGCGTGGATAAAGATAAGCTTGCACTTAATTAGGATTTGGCTGTTAGAGCAAGTTTAATAGTATAGTCAACTACCAGCTCTAATTTATTTATAGCCAATCTAGTAGCTCATTCATACAATAGTTACATACTACACTATTAATACCTGGTCCCACCTGTCATACACATACTGCGTCTTGAAGTCCGTGCTACAGCTGGCTACAAATCTGTAGCCCGCTGCTTTTCTCTCTTCTTATTTATCTACTTAAAATATGTTTGCAGCTGGCTTATAGCCTGCTATTGTACCTGCTCTTACTAGGATTTGGTTGTTATCTTTTAGGGCCCCTTTGAATCGCAGGGTAGAAAAAACGGTGGAATAGAAAAAACACAGGATTCTGATAGGAATTGAAGTGTAAAACAGAGGATTGCAAAACACAGGAAAAACACAGGAATGATCGTTTGATTGGAGCGCAGGAAAAACGTAGGAATCGGATGAGAGAGATAGACTCAAAGGAAATTTTCCAAGAGGTTGGAGCTCTTGCTAAATTTCCTCTAAAATCCACATGCAATGTGCCATTCCATAAGAACTTCATAGGATTTGGAAAGCTTAATCCTTTGAATCAAAGGGCCAAATAGGAAAATTTCCTATAAGTTTTTAAACCTACGAAATTTCTATATAAATCCTTTGATTCAAAGTGGCCCTTAGTTTTGGAGAGTTCGTTACAATTGTAAGCCTCTAAGATGAATAAAGCAAGCAATCTTCAGTGTCATTCTCGATCTGTTACACAACTCCGGCACGGGGCAGCGAGGTTAACAACCTCGCCTTCCCGTCGACCCCCCTTGTGTTCTCGTTTGATTCTAATCTGTTCTTAGCCACAACAATAGCCATCCTATAAGGCATCGTTTCGTCGTAGGCTCGGAGCTCCCTAGATGTTCACAGTCCTTCCCCTTGCTGTTTAACTGTTTGCCACCAATACCCCAACATTATTTGATTGGCACTTTGATATTTTCCTTTTAGCTTAGGCAAAGGTCTTTCCACTAATTTTAATTTCATCTCTTGGTTTTGGCAGGTGTGATATTCACATCTTCTGTAGAATAAGTGGATGGGATTTGTTGATCCAGCATCTACGAATTACCGCTAGCTGGTTGTGTAAGTTTTGTTGTATCCCTGTCTTTTTAATCAGGTAATCATCTCATGTTGGTATAATATACTACCAATTATTGAGCTTTGTTCCTGCAGATTTAATTAGGTATTACTTTAATACAAAAATATTTATCAATATGGTCTTACATGCCCAACATCAGATCGAAAGCTCTGAAGAATTAAACCTACATCCTACAACGTCAGCTCCAATGTTCATCTTGAAATCAAACTGACTAGATTTTTCCCTCAGGGCCGTGAGTACTTTCAGTTTTTTTTTTCTATAGAGTTGCAGTGAACACACTCAAGGAGCACTACTCCGTGGAAAGTACTGTTAAACTACTCCGTGGAAAGTACTGTCAATCATTTAACAGCTATGATCTGAAGACTTTCTTTAATTTGTACTTTTTGTTCTCTCCACTGCTTGAGCCTTGAGAGGTAATTATTGTTTTAGCAGGCAAATGCAAAAAAATCCCCCTACTAGTTAATACTAGTTAATAATACACTAATGGCTCACCTCGTTTTATACACTAATGGCTCACCTCGTTTTACGTATCTTCTGTTTCGCGTATCTTCTCAATCATCTCTCGGCTGCTTGGGCAAGCAGCAGCCTATATGCCCTTCGTAAATATCCACAGAACACTGCCAATTCATCATACATGCTCCCACAGAAGTGCTATATAATGGATCAAGATGGTTGGGAATTCAATTGCATCAAATTGACCGAAATTATGACGCAGATAAGAGTATAACACTACACCATCCACAGAGAAGCACTAGGAATTGATATATGTATCAGCAAGCATCAAGCACGTCAAACTGAAAGCACTATAGAATGAGCATGAGCCATCCCCAAAGAAGGTATGCGAGTTTTTGCAAAAGCAGTTCACCCAAGATAAATTCAAATTACTTCAGTGCATACATAAGGTTGTGAGATCGACAAGCAAAAACATACTGGTACCAATAAACAGAAGTATTAAAGAACCCAGCTTGTGAACATCGAATGATGGAATTCAGAGTCCGATCTCCCTAATCAGCATTTGATCTCCCTAATTTGCCTGGCAAAACAAATCTAGCTGGCTCCCGGACCACACCATTTGCTTCCGTGATATCTCTCTCTGCATGCTTTCATCAACTTCCTCCAATGCTGGGCAAGAAAACAGTAGACAAGTCAGATGGATGACAATGCTATTGCCATAGCATATTTGCTACAGTAGCAAACAATACAATGGGTAATAGTAGTAATTCACAACATCAGCATGTATAAAATATAAGAAAACAGTACACAAGTCAGGTGAATGACAATGCTAGTGCCATAACATGTTTGGTACAGTTGCAAACAAGCCAATGAGTAATAAGTGTAGTAATTCACAACATCAGCATGTATAAAATGTGCAATCAAATTAAGATGTTACCAATTTCAGCATGTATGAACTGGAAATTCAAAAGCAGCTGTGTGTATAATCACAAAACTGATTACCTGACTCCATCTCGACCCAGGATTGCACTTTGCCCGCATCCATCTTCCTATTGTCAGGAACAAGGCGCTGACTATCAAGGTGTCTGAAGAATTCACAGCCCAACAAACCAGAAGGAACAATCTTATCTGGGCGCCAGGAAAGAGGGTTGGACACAAGCTTCTTGCTTGTCATGTTGAATCGGCAGACGTGGTGCACCGCAGGGTCCTCCCACCGCATGATTGGCCTGGACAGTATGAAGTAAAGGTCTCCACCATCGCCTTCCTCCATGCTCAGCAGGGGGTACACTGGCTCGGTCTCCGGTAATCCATCCTTCTTGAAGTCATCCAGTTCCCACAGAGTTCCGAAGCGCAGCTCCTCGCCCTTGGTCCACTGCAAGGTACCCATGTCCAGTGTCCACTCCGTCACCGTCTTGTCGTCCTCCGGCACAGAATCATCGAAGGAGATGGAGACAAACTTGATCAAGTCCCCAGTGCTGCAGCCCATGGTTCGGAACATCTCCGCTGGCCCAGTATCGGAGTCATCAAGGGCGTCAGACTTGCACCCAGGGGGCAACTCAATGAAGTCAAAATGGACGAAGAAGCTGTCCAAGAGGTCCTTGATGCGGCAGCACAGGACGCCCTTGGTGAGATCAGCCCAGAAAGCATGGCTACTGGATGTGAACTTGACGTGGTGGCAGAAGGACGCTGGCGTCTCCTTCGAGAAGCGCGGTTTCCTGGTGTGCCACGGTTCACCGGAGGGATTCGGGTACATCTTCTCTCGCGGCGGCGGTGGCGGCGGTGGCAGCAACGTTGGAGGCGACGACGACTTTGGAGGCGTCCACAGGTAGAGCAAGTCAATGCAGGTGGATCGTCCTTCTCTCTTGTAGGGATAGTTCTTGGCAAAGAGGACTAGGGCGTACTCATCACCGTACCGCACAGGGAGAGGGTTCGACGGTAAGTAGATATCGCAGCACCAATTCGGGATGGGGATCATGGACATGGATGCGTGAATGGCATCATAGAGGAGGTAGTGCTTGCTAGATGTGAAGACGAAGGACAGGGAGAGGACCATGAGGTTCTTGTCTGCGACCTCGACGCGGGCAGTGACACCTGAGATCTCATCGATCTTGTCGAACTCGATGGCGCGAATCGCCAGATCCGGCACCATGAGGCCGGGGGATGAAGATTCGGCGGCCTTGGAAGCTTTCTTCTTCTTGAGTTCTTCCGCCACGATGTTGCGGATGATATTCTTGTCGGCGCAGATGGCCAACCGAGAGAGAGCCGGGTGCTCCTCGGCGAGGCGCACATAGAGCTTCACGCTCTCCGCCAACAAGGGGCCGTACCTCCCGCACCCTTGGTACCTCTTCTTCTTCAAGTCGATAGACGCCCACCCTTGTTCTGTTGGACCGATGGAGAACACGTAGTCGGGCACACCTGGATCCAGCAGGACGCACCGAGACGCCGGCGACGCCATCCCTAGGGTTTCGGTGGAAGGGGAGAGGAGGAGAAAAAGGGGACCGGTAAGATTTTGATGGGAGAAGAAGAAGATTTTGATTCGGAAGCGGTGGAGCCGAGGCAAACCCGATCCGACTATAGTACGAGCAAAGAGGAACGAGCGTTGAATCGTTAGATTTGAGGTGTCGCGGATCGTGAGATTGGTGGACGGTTGGATGTGTTGCCTAAACAAACACATAAGGCGACATCCCCCTGAACTTGGTGCACGGTAGACCGCGTAGCCTATCTGGGAACGCGCGCCATCTATTTTTTTTCTTTTTCTTTTTTAATATAAAAAAGTGCCCGTAACATTTTAACGGGAAGAAAATTGAGGAAAAGTCGAAATATTTACATTCTGGAATTAATGGAAATACAAATTTTATCATCTTTATATAACGCTACATATGATATCATAATTGCACATATATACGATGTTGAAGAAAAAAAGGCACATAAAAATTAAGGTGAATTCTAGGCTGACCTGGCTTGGCTATATGATAGGTCTAACATCACCGTACTATCTGTCGAATTGCAAACACCAGCACGAACGATTAGAACTGCATGTAATGTTACATCGTAGTTGCATATCCTCTCTAAAAACTGATGACATCATTGAATATTGGGAACATGTTTTCATCAAGTCATTTTTATTGAGGCCCCGTTTGGTAGGGCTCCAAACTCCAACTCCTAACACTAAACTTCAACTTCAGTGAGAGCTAGCTCCTATTAGAGTTGTGCCATGATTATGGATACAACACCTAATAGTAGTTGACTAAACTCGGCAGGACCCACCATATACAATGTCTTATACAGAAACAAACCTCGTATATAGAAGGAGTTCCGGATAAGGAAGGATAAATAAAGTTCTATATGGAAACAACAAGGACTACTCGGATTATATCCATATTTATCTCCCTAATATTATTTGGACAAGGGGGCATCTATGGGTATAAATACAAGCCCCCCTAAGAGGAGAGGGGATAGTCACAAAGCCACAAGCCAACACACGTCCCCCCTAAGACGACGGTTAGATATATTATCACAATTATTGTAGATATATTATCACAATTATTGTACTTTGTGGTTTCTATATCAATCCCATATAAACAGGATGTAGGGCTATTACCTGTCAGATAAGGGGCCTAAACATGTATAAAAATCATTGTCTCTGTCTCTTTTACCTCAATCTCGTATATACCCTGGAACCGACGATCCCATACCATACAAATACCGTAGTCGCGGTACCACCCGTTGACAAGTTGGAAACTCGTTAAAAGTGTTCGGCTAACTTTCAGCTCTAGATCCGAAAAAAATTGAAAAAATAAAGAAACCAAGCCACCTTGGCCCCAGCCGCGCATCGTCTCCACCGCGCCGCGCATGCTGCCCGTTGCCATCCCGCCGCGCTGGCCGTCTTTGTCCCGGCCGCGCACCGCCCGTCGTTGTCTGTCGTCGCCCGTCGCCACCCCGACCGCGCGCCGCCGGTCGTCGTCCCGCCGCCCCACCCATTGACGTCCCGTCCCGCCGCGCCGGTCATCGTCGTCCCGTCCCGCTGCGGCCGCCCTTCGTCGTCCCGTCCCGCCGACACTGAATCGGGATTAGGAGGAAGATGTGGAGGAGAGAGAACAGGAGGAAAGGAAGATGGGGGTATTTGAGTGGCATTTTCACGTAAATACACTAAAAAGTTACTACCTCCGTCCTAAAATATAGCAATTTGTAGCTCTGAATCTGGACACGTGTTTTGGGGTAGTAGGTCTTTTGGGGTGGAGTGGAGCTATGGAGCAGCAAAAACCCAGCTCCACCCCGTAGTTCATTTTCTAGGAGTAGCTTTGCCAACTCCACTCAAAAAATGGAGGATCTGGACCGTTTGGCACAGCTCCGGCTTCAGGTAAGTTAAAGTTGGGAGCTAGAACTGTGCCAAACGAAGCCTGAATTGATCTTATTGAACTCTATTTTGATGAGCGGTGACAACAGAAATTTGAATGATGCACAATTCTTGTGATCTGTGAGGGACATACACATGCATAAGTATCATCTTAATCCAAATTGAGAATGGGATGAGCTCTTATACCTTGATTTTCCTTTTAGGGATTTATAAATTACGTCTAGAATTTATAATAAAGTTCAATTAATTTACCAGTGAAGTGAATGTGAGAAATAAAAGTTCCCAAATAAAATATGGCTGAATTTAGTTTTTATTAAAGTCTCCATGATTAATTACACTATATGATTATTTTTCAGAATATTCATAGCTCAATTGACAAGTTTAGTAATACAAATATCTTTTTAGCATTTATCTCTATCTCTATATTATATATATCTCTATCTCTACTATTATAAAAATTGAAGGTGTTTTTGCCGATACTTTGGTACGTCATCTGTATATAAGTCGGTTTTTAAGTTCGTTCGCTTTTAGAAATACATATCCGTGTTTGATTCGGGTTTTAAGTTCGTTAGCTTTTGAAAATACAAAAGAAGTTGTATAAAAAATCTCTTTAAAAAAACTTGCATGCAAACTTGAGATGATCGAACTCCTAATTGCAACTCATGATTTTATGGAAAAAAAATATCCAAGCGAATTCCCACAACGAATTCCACCTTAACTGAACCGTATAATAATAGTAAGATTGAAATAACCTTCACCCGTTGCAACGCACGGGTATTTTTTCTAGTACTATTATAAAAATTTAATATGTTTTTGCCGGTACTTTAGTATACCATCTGTGTTTGAGTCGATTTTTAAATTTTATAGTTGGGTGCCCGTGCGTTGCAATGGGGAAAATGTGCATCATTTGAAATATACAATCTATGTCATATATAAATATGCACAAATCAATGAGGAATCGTTTCCTTGATCTGAACAAAACGAAATTGTAACGAATCTGATTCATTTGCCAAGTTATTATGCTATATATTAAGAAGTAAAACATGTAGATCGTTAGATTCAGCAAAGAGAAATATGGACATGTGCACCCACGTCAATTCTATGCTTCTTTATATGAACAACATGGTTTAATCACATTCCGTAGCACACAAAGAAAAATAGTACGTATGCAGATCAAAAGGATTGTGTGAAAAATGAGAAAAGGAGAGGCTACAGAACATGGGTACTTAGAATTAACTGACGAAGCATGAATTTGCGATATTTTCAAACCATGCCAAAATGTTACGATGCATTTCTTCAATCACCAAATCTGCATACAGAGCTAGAATGAGCATCTCTGAACAAATATAATTTTCATCAAGGAAATTCGAGTTCAACAATCAGATAATTCTAATTACAAACTAAGAGAGACAACAAAGAATGATTTCTATATCAGTCTATCTTTCTGGTCAATGGTAGCCCGACACATACTCGTCTCAAACACGATAAAATGCCCAAACATAGATAAAATAATGAAAACAAATCCATTTAGTTGTTCTCATGCCCAAGGTGCATGCAAAGTTTTATATGGGCATGGTATCTTAAATAAAGCTTTTAAGGGGGTTATTGACCAAATGAAAGGACTACTGAACATTAAAAGCTTGCACGGGTTAAAAGCTTAAAAGGAACCTCAAATAAAGCTTAAAAGGACAACATTAGGTACCTCAAATGATGTGTACCGTCAGAACATTTAAAACAAACTTGCTTGGGTTCAAAACCTTAAGCTGCTTTTCATCTGGCAAAATAACTGGAATATTCATAAATGAACAGCAACAAACTGAATTTCACAATCTTAGAGGACACAAATAATGAAGGCGTAAAGTATTCAGTTAAAAATATATTGTGCTGAAAGGTTGAAGTATTCTTTTTTCAGAGCAATACATGCTTAAAACATGACAATTCAAGAGCAAATGGCGTCCTATTTACTTTATATGGTTTAAACGGTGATAGTGGCCTTAATTAAAGTATGCAGAAATCATCGGCTCTCAAAAGTATTACTGATTTTGACTGTAACTTAATCCTAGTTCCTGCACCAATCAGTCGTTTCAGTCATCCCATAGAGAATGCATTTGGTTCTAATTTAAGCAGTTACTGATTCAGTTTGAATGAGCTGAACAATCTACTACAGATTCTGGTGCATAAATTATGTAAGTGTGCACGTGGAACCCACGTCAATAATAAGATAAAACAGAGAATAAGCCCATAATATTTTCACGTCTCTAATAAGATGAAACAGAAAATAAGCTCCTATATAACAATTTAATGATTCCATGCCTCTAATACGATAAAACAGATAATAAGCTCCCATACAATAATTTAGTGACCATACAATACTTTGTATAGATAATCTTTCTGATAGGAAGAGCATTGCTACAGACCAAAGGATGAACTGCCCCGAAAGGGCATAGCATGAGTACAACAGACCCATTATATATAACGTTAAATAACAAATACATAAATGACCGTCTTCCCATTTTACTGCCAAATGATGCCTTCGAAGGCTCATAGATGAAGGAAGGGTTATATTGGCCTCAGTCCTCAGAAGTACTTTTCCATGAACCCGAGTTAAATATAATAGAGGTGACCAACATCAGTTAAAAGAAACACATGTAGTAGAGAGAATAAACTTTATGCAATGTAAATTATGAAGTAATGCTCACGGAATCAGTGTCAGCTAAAAAAATGTGTGGTTATGTATTAATGTGATCTAAATTAGAGTTCGTAAGTACTGCAGCCTATTCTCTACAACGTTAAATGGATACGGAAATTGACGGGGCAAGGCAAACCGGCAAAGTGTTCTCTCGTACTGCATTCCAGATAATCAAATGTGCAGTGGATAGTTTACAGCGATATGCAATAATATTAACAACCTTCCTTTTCTATACTCATTCAGCTTAATTGAAGGAAATGATTCTGCCAAGATGCATTGATAGCAGTAAGATGACTGCATTGGTAAGGAAGATAATATACAGGTAAAGAAACTAACCGTGTGAGCATAGATGATGCAATTTACTCCATGACTGAATCAGGGATTAGTGTATTTTCTGCTCGCATATTGACTAAATTTCATTGAGTGGAGGTCTTCTCTCACATTTATAGAATTCAGGTGTGGTTTATCACCATGAATTCCCATCAGCAATTACGCTGATCATCAGAACTTAACATGAGACACTTACCATGAGGAAGTATATATATAATCAAATCCAAAATTTTATGTCTAATGTGAGCACCTAGCCAGTAAAACAACTACCAGGATCATGACCAAACAGAGAGACAGTATGTTAATACCATAGGAGAAGTCGTTGTAGTGATGAGTGTGCACCACATGTAAATGCAGCATCACAGATCAATAAATTGACAGACACAACATAGATCAACGATATTTCTATCGCATGTTAAAAAATTGATATCGCAGAAATTAATCAAGTAAAAACAGGACAAACAGAAGAAACTGGTCTTATTTTCACAGTAGGAAAGAGTACCCGGGTGATGAAGGAACCTGACGTCCTGAAGAAGAGTGAGCTTGTGTCCAGTGGCAAGATTTCACTTCAGATCTACGCCGTTTGTGAGATAATAATTTAAATACCATGGGTAGGTACAGGATCAATACTCTTTTTTCGCTGGTAGTACTCTCGCATCTTTTGAAGCCTAGCTTCCTTGTCGTCAGCACTAAGAGCAGCATACCGCTCCCTAGCACTCTTCCGCATAAATTAAACTCAATTCTCGGCAGCTTTGTATATAAGCGATTGGAGTTAAATTAGTGATGCCGCCAAGTGTACCTGCAGAAACTTGTACAGAAATCATTTCACAACATAGCAACAGTACGAAGAAGCGAGACGAAAAGGGAGAAAACAGATAATGTCCACAAATCAGATACACATGGTAGATATACCTTCAACAGGAAAGTGTTTCTTTTACTTAAAACGAAACTGTCTAAGTGATACTTTCACATACATTTTGATTACAGCTCGAACAAAGCATTACAGTGCTAAAATCACTTTGAAAAGTGAATTGGTTTCTGGACATTTGCTCAACAAATTTATGAACTTTAGTTGATTTGTAACTTTTCTAGATGGGGGATGTCTAGCAATCGAACGCTATATAAGAAATTTTGTTTACCTTTTGTTGATGGGAATGTCCCTCAGTGATGGAGGGGAGACGGGTGAGTACTGCATCACCCGCCGACAGCATCCAGCGACGATCGGAGGACTGGCGGGCAGCTTCCGGTGCGGCTGATGGAGGGGAGACGGGTGAGTACTGCATCACCCGCCGACAGCATCCAGCGACGATCAGAGGACTGGCGGGCAGCTTCCGGTGCGGCGCGAAAGGGACCGTGGTGGAGATCGACGGAGAGGAGCGGATCCAGTTGCGAGACGTGGCGTAGGCGACGGACTGTCGGCGTGGATGTGGGCTGCGCACGGGGGAAGCGGAGTCGACGATGGAGGCCGCCGCGGGATGAGGGTGGTGGTCTAGTGGGAGGCCGGGATGTGGGGGGTTGATGCAGCCGGCTGACAGGATCTTACAAGATTCAACACTGATTTAAGCAGGAAAAAGGGAAACAAATCACAAGAACACAAGAACACACGATAGATAGGCAACTTTAGTGGAATTATACTCCAATCCAACAGGATTGAGTCCGCCGCCGCCTTCGCCTCCGAGTTGCCAGTCTCAAGACATGTCTCTGTTCTTCTTAGACTTGAGTACATATACTACTCCTCCTCTCTCTCACGTGATACATCGCCAGCTGGACAGAGCCAGGCTGTTACAACGACAACTGCTTTACGCAACCCATTGAGAGACTTGATAACGTGGGTTGGGCTTGATAGGCCTTGACGACCGACGCTTGGCCACCAAGTCTTGTTCTCCTCCTCCTTGCTTCGCGCCATCGCTCTCCACTGGAGCTTCAGCTTCTTCCTCTTGCTCTTCAGATTCATCAGGACGGATCTCCTCTTCTGTATCTTTTTGTACCGCTACCTTGGCGTTGCTTGGCGTGTTCCTGACAATCCCTACCCCTTGAAAGCCTGCTTGTCCCCAAGCAGGAAGTCCAGGAAACCTTGTCTTCAAATCTTCAAGGTCTTCCCAGGTTGCTTGCTCTGGTAATGTATTAGACCAATGAATTAGTACCTGAGGAATAGTATTATTACCTTTCTTAGTGATGCGATGGTCCAGTACAGTCAAAGGATGCTGTATAGAAGGCATGTGGGGTGGCAGAAGGGGCTGAACAGGGGCCTTGAATCCCTTGGCGGCGGGTGATGGAGAGGAGGACGCGGCGACGGACCGGACGGCGTGACCGGCGTTGGGGGTAGTGTCTAGGGTTTCGGAGTCGGCCACGAGGAGTCCTCCCCGCGCCAGCGGTGGTTCGACGGAGGCGGTGGCAGCGGCGAGGCGAGCAGTGGGGTAGGGAGCTGGTGGAGTACGGCGGGGAGGAGCGAAGGCGGCGGCGGCACGGGACGGTTAGGGGACGGTAATGGAGCCGTCGGCGACGCGGTGGAGGAGGACGGCGATGGCGGCGGGGAGGATCGAAGGCGACGGCGGCACGGGATGGTTAGGGGATGGCGATGGAGCGGTGGATGCGGGGATGCGGGAGCGATGGAGCGGTGGATGTGGGAGGGATGAGGCGAGGAGCTGGGTGGGGATCAGTGCGCCGTTGGATTTAGCGATCCGACGGTTCACATTCTGCGTGTATGTTAGGGTTGGAGTGACCGGCACCACTATGAAATTTTAAAATAGTAGAGAAGAGTTATCTCTACTAAAATTTCGTTGTCTGTTAAAAAAGAAAAAAAAATCCGACTCAAAAGAGGTAAAAAATGAAGAAAAAAGTCCGACAAAAAAGCGATTAAAAAAAAGCTTCTACCGAAAAAAAATCTCGACTCCGACTTCCGTAAAAAAAAGAAAAAAAAGTTTCATCAGTAAAAAAACAAAAAAGAAGTCCGTTTAGTCCGACTTCCATAAAAAAAAGGTCTCCTCAGTAAATAAACAAAAACGAAGTCCGTTTGGTTTCTTTCGCACGGGTATTTTTTCCGACTTTTTTGCACGTGAAAGAGTTTTTTTTAGCACGCACTTAGGCTCTTGGTTTTTTCGTCCGTATTTTAATCTGATCGTGCCTCCCGGGCGCTGTTGGTTTTTTTCGTCAATTTTATTGTCCCCGGTTTTTTCTCCCGTGCACTTTTTGGGTTTTCTCATGTTTTTTAATCCGATCTGTTCGCCGCACGCCTCCCGAGTTAAACCCTGATGCCGCGCCGCCGCCATATTGATTGTGCGTTTATCCTCCGATTTGATTGAAAAATCGATTCCCCACTCCTCCGTCATTATTTTCTCCATTATTTTCCCTTTCGATTCGGTTTTAATTTGTCGGATTTAATCTCCGTTTAACGGTTGCCGATGATGACAACAATCTTCCCCGGCCGTTTTTATCCCGAGTTTTACGCTCTGATTTTGGAAAAAACGGAAGGCGATCTTCCCCGGTGGTTCCCTCAACCAATTTTGGATGATCGAGAAAGATTCGACAAGATTTGATTGGGAGATTTGCTCCGGCAACCATACGGCCACGAGACCTAGCAACCGTACGGACATGGGACTATCTTCGAGAGGTTGAAGATGGTAGTAGACTGTGCGAGTTGCGCTTACAGCTACCTGTGGCTGAGTCGAAGGGAAGCAGGCAAAACGGAGAGAGGTAGCAGACTGGCCTAGGGCTAAAATGGAAGGAACACTATCGGCCCTAAACTCAGGAAAGATTTTCATTAACTTTTTCAATTATAATGTATGTAGCGATCCCAATATTTTAATATATTGCTCAGCTCTTAATATATCAGTGAAAAAACGCCTTTACCCGTTGCAACACACATACACTTTTCTAGTTCAAATAAAAATCTAAATAAACCCCTCCTTTCTCTCTGGGCCATTTTTAGCCCACTTCTTTCCTTAGCCCGCAACCTAGCCGGCCCGCAAGTGCGAATCAGGATTCAGACTCATCAAGCGACCGCAAGTCTAATAACCCTCCCCCTGTTCCTCCCTCACTATGGCCTGGGTCCCAACGCTACAGTGTCATCTCCTACCTCCGGTCGGACTCCCGCATCTGCCCGACTGTTTGAAGCCACCTCCTCCGTGAAGTCCGACTATATTGTTGGTGATAATCCAAAAGTGATTGAGGGTTTCGATTCTTATCTTCTCCTCTTTCCGTTTTTCTAAGAATTGGATCAAACCACATCCTATCTGAGTTAGGAATCAAGTCAGCTAACACTGGATTTTTCTGGCTCAGAATCCGTTTTCGCTTAAACAAAAATCGCGATGGACGAAAGGTCAGTGTTTTTTTATTTTTTTTTCCAGCTTTGTTCGCCACTTTTTTTTTCAAGTACGAATCGAACGTTTTGTCTTGCTTTTCTTTCGCTTTTTTTACGGGGTGATTTTTTTCGCGTGAATTTTTCGCCCATCGCATAAATGAAAGGGACGCGCGCTGGGGCGCCACACGTCGGATTGCAGAGTTTTTAGCTGTGTGCCATTAAGAAATTGTTGACAGAAAACACGAGGCCTGGGAGATTTGCTTAACTCCACTGCAGGTCCAAAACCCGCCTTCGGATGTGTGACCGTGCCAGTTGATTTGATCCTACAATCAACCAGAAACGAATACAAAGAAACGCGATTAAATCCATAAATGATAGTCGATCAGCTAGGTGCCGATGACATATCATTTATTTTAGGCCGATGTCATGTGTACATCGATCGGCAGTCGTGAATAATTAAGGAAGAACTAAATCTACTCGATCGGCTGTAGATATTAACAATATATAACTCTTATGTCGATATATACTTAAATCAAGTGATTGTGATAGATCGGTCGCTATGCCGAGACAGTATAAATCACTTAGATCGAAATATAAATTAACAACAGAACTATATACGTTTATAGCATAGCCGATCAGATAGATCTAGCGTGCATTGGCTAATAATCTGATACCACTCTATATTAAGATATTAAAGCAAGTAGAATATATCAAACAGAAGCATAATATACTTAAATGCAACAAGATCTTAACATAAAGGGCAGATTTCACATGTCAATCAAGCATATAAGATAACTATAGTTAAATCAGTTAAGATCGGCTGAAACCCCGATGCTACACTAATCGGCAACCAAGAAGCAGGCTAGAGACTGATATTCTAAGCACGACTTAATATATCAAACTCAACTGATGCAGCATTAAGTATGAAAAGAAGAACAATATCTAGACAATCAAGCCGCTGGATGTTTCATAGAGTGGTAGATATCTTATACAATCCAAGCTAACGTCGCTATTTAACCTAATCGGTTGCCTTCTACTAACAGATGTTAGCCGATTGTAGGTTAGATGACGATATTACCGAAGATTATACAAGATATATGATAACTTGACGAATTACATAAACAAGATTAAAGTATCATAAAGATGGAAGTACTAATCCTGAGAACACAAGCCGCCATAACAAGTTTTACCTCTTGTTGATGATTGAAACCGATGCAGCTCAACCCGAAAGCAAGAACTCGTCGAAATAAAACTAAAGCAAAAAGGGTGGCGATGCGCCGAAATTGTATTGAACGTGTGTCTTTTTTTTACATAGGGCTCAGGGTCTATTTATACCCGAGAATTACAAGATATGTCCATACCGGACACGACTATTATCTCTAACAAACTCTAAGATACCATAAGTCTTTGCGGCAGACTTTTGCCCAAACATATCTCTAAGGAAATTACATAAAATATCCTAATTAATAGATACAATTGCCTTCTCAGGACTCTATCCATGCGTGGCAATCATCTTGAAGCATATCAACTCAACCCGATGATGTACACCGAGTCGTATTCTTGGAATCGGCTGTATCGGCTAGCCCTGTCTGACTCGAACTTTGCCGATCCTGACCGTAGCCGATTCGGATTGCAGCCGATTCTTGCTCTGTTTCCGCAACGATCTTCGTCTTCGATTCCGCTTCGATCTAATCTTCTTTTCCGATGCTGATATTATCAAATTTGGTCGTTAACAGAAATATAGTGCCTGCCTTTGTGCCACCAAAAAGTTCGAGCCTTCCTATATGCCATCGTTGAGAGGCCATGTTTCCTTCTATGCCACCAAGCCACCGCCACCGCTCCTCCTCACCGAGACGCCGTCGTCGCCGCTCCTCCTCAACGAACCGCCGCCGCACCAAGCAGCGCCGGCCGGCCCACGGCAACCGATGTCATCACTCATCAAGCAAGAACGCGCACGGAGCGACGCCGCCACGACATCATCTTCCTCCCCGTCGATCTGGACCACGCCAAGTCGAGCCGCCGCGCTACCATCGTCGTCTCATCACCACGTCTCATCACCACGACCAAACCCCTCAAGAACCCCCAAGATTGATGCACCATGGACGGAGAACGGCATCATATTCTCCAACTCCGTCCGCCGGCGTCAAACTTCGATTCCGCCTCCTCCGGTGAGCCATTGTCCAATTCTGGTTCATTCACAGGTTAGAAATGGAACAGATTAGTAATCCAGCAAACGAAGAGGCCATCGTTCATTCGCAGGCTAGAAATGGAACATATTAGCAATCAAAGAAACGAAGAGGCGAGAGCGAAAAGGAGCTTTACTAGGGCCATTCTCCTCGCTAGAGTCGAAGAGCAGCTGGAGGCCGAGGCAGATGCCGAGGAAGGGGCAGTCCCTACGGATGTACTCGCGGAGCGCGTTGGCCATCCCGGAGCGGGTGAGGACGTCCATGGCAGAGCTGAAGGCGCCGGACCCTGGGAAGACGAGGCGGTCGGCGGCGAGGATGTCCTCCGGGCTACGCACGTCACAGATGCTGAAGCCAAGGTGGCGGATGGCGTTCCGCACGCTGCGCACGTTGCCCGCGCCGTAGTCCAGCAGCGTCACGGCTGTCGCATCGAACCGACGGCGAAGCGGAGGAAAAGCAAAGCAAACGCGGCGGTGAGGCCATGGGTGAAGTGAAACGCCTTCGAGCTCCGGAGTTGAAACGCCTTCGTCGCCGGACGCGCGCACGGCGAGCATCGAGGGGCCGCGAAGCTGGCTCCTCCGCTTCGGCCGACCAGCGGAGCAGGGGGGCGGCGTGGATGGAGGTGGCGGTGGCCGTCGCTCCCTGCGGCGGCGGCCTTGTCGCCGGCCTCGCCGCGCCACCCCGCCCCTCCTGGTCGCCCCGCCGCGCCGTCGAGCACCGCCTCGGCTGGCCGCCTGGCTGCCTTGGCACCGCGCCGGTCGCCTGCCTCAGCACCGCGCCTGACCGCTTGTCCGCGCGCGCCGCCTGACCTCTGTCTCAAACGACGCAGAGACTGAAAGGGCAAGATGCACATTTTTCCTGCACGGGCCCACATGCCAGAGCTGTTAAACGGTTAAACCTTAACAAAATAGCGACGGAATGGTGTGAAGGGCACGATAAAGTTCAACGATGTCATGAGAGAGGCTCGAACTTTTTTTTTTACACGAGGCTCAAACTTTTTAGTGGTATAGAGGCAGGCACCATCTTTAATGGAACACAGGTAAAAACCTCCGGATTGCAATAGTGTGCGGGGCGAAAATTTTGCAAAAAAGCCCTTCGCGTTTCTGTAATTGGATATAGGCCTCTCACATTTGAGGGGAAAAAGTAGCGAATAGGGACTTCGTTGTGATATGTGGAAGATGAGGGGCTTTTTCGCAAAAAAAAAGCCCACTATCGCGGACGAGTCTACAGCTCAGGCGCCCGATTGGTTTGCAGAAAAATCGGTCAGCGTCCGATTTACGTGCAAAACTACTTTAAACTGATTTTTCTCTTAAATTACTTATCCAAATCATGATCCGATTGCACCATTAAATTCGTTGCAATTAAATCTTCAAAACAAAACCACACATGGATATATTCCGACGAATTTTTTTAGCTTATTATCGAATTATTTTTAAATGTTGCACGATGTTCCACCAGGTATATCGGAATTGTTTCACTAAGTAGATCGAAAATGTTTCACTCGTTTAAATCAGGTGTTGTTTCTCCTTATATAAAAACAATGTTTCAGCAAATAGCGAAAGAATATTTCAGTTCACTGCAACATTTGATCCATACATAGTGAAACATTATAAGTACACTAGGTGAAATATTTTTCGGTGGAACAAAAAATAAACAAAATTCCCTTAATAGGGGGTTTCCAAAATATGCGAGTTTTTTTTTGCAATGGAGTATTTCAGTTCACTGCAATATTAGATCTATAGATAGTGAAACATTATGATTACACTAGGTGAAATATTTTTGGTGGAATAAAAAATAAACCAAATTCCTTTAATATAGGGTTTTCAAAATATGTGGGTGATTTGTTGCAATGAAGTTGTATGTGTGGATAAATGACAGGTGAGGACAGGGATACGTGAGGGGGCGAGGGGCGCACTTGATGGGAGAGGGTGGAGCGACCGATTTTTTTTGAGAAAATTTGATCCATAGCACAGGAAAAAACCCGGTACCAAAAAATAGCACAACAAATTTTCCACTTCGGCCAGAAGCACAGGGCACCAGTTTTCTTGCGATTCATAGCACTCCCGTCACATTTGCCATCCAAACATGTGAGTTGATATGAAAAAAGACTCATTTGCCCTTCTTCCCCACGCAAGAGGGCAATGGAGCTCAGACCGACGGCTCCCTCACGCTCCCCCCGCGTCGCCCACGCGCAGGCCACACGGTGGGCGAACCCCGCCGTCGCCGTCGCCGCCGCCCCCCACTCCCCTCCCCCCTTCCTCGCCACCGCCGGAGCTCACCACCGGCAAAGCCGATGGCGGCGGCGGGGCCTTCTCCCGGCGTCGGTGAGTGGTGGCAGCGAGGTATCCCGGCTAGGCGGCGGTAGATCCGGCGCCGCCGTCGCCGGATCTAGCAAGGCCCTCCGACTTTGGCGGTGGAGGGGGCCGCTGAGTCGCGAGGCGACGGTGACTCCAGCGCGCGCGGGCGGCGGAGGGCAGTGCTAGGGCTGACACGTTGAGGCGTCGGGGCCAGCTGGGGTCTCCACCGTCGGCTCCGGTGGACGGCGAGGCACGTTTGGGCCAGCCGGGGTCTCCACCGTCGGCTTCTCCGCCAGCCACCGAATCCCCTTCGTCCACGCTCCCAACATCGCCACCAGCTCCGTCTCCGCCCATCGGGTCATTGGCCTCGGCATCACCTCTAACGACGACGACGGCCTCACGGGTGGCTCGACCGCGTGCGGCTGCGAAGCAAGGCGACTTGGTTGACGGCGGCGGCGGTGGCGGCGACTGCTTGCGAGGTGCGGCGAGGCGACGACGGCGATGGCTGGAGGGTGGTTCGACCGTGCGCGGTTGGTCCATGCGATGGCTGCGAGGCACAGTGAGGCGACAACGGCGGCTCCTTGCTCGACCGCGCATGGCGTAGCTGCTCCGCACAGGGCCTGACGCGACGAGATGACATGGTCGAAGGGTAAATTAGTCCGAGGATATTTCTTTCTACTCCAAACTAACACCGTTATCTTAAAATATAACGGAAGTGCTATGTATCGAAGGAAAATTGGTCCTCCGTGCTTCTGGTCGAAGTGAAAAATTTGTTGTGCTATTTTTTGGTAATTTTTTTTCGGTCCCCCGTTGAGCATTCTCGCACTATCGCGAATAGGGGCTTCGTTGTAATTGGATATAGGCCCCTCTCCCGCGCCGCCTCCGCCTCCCCCTCGCCCCGTCCCCGTCGCCGAGCGCCGCCGCCGCCCCCTCAAACCCTAGCCGCCGCCACCCGTTCGCTCTCCCTCTGTCGCGCCGCCGCCTCCGCCTCCCCCTCGCGCCGTCCTCGTCGCCGAGTGCCGCCACCACCCCCTCGCGCCTTTGCCACCTCCTCCGCTGCCGCCATCGCCGGTCACTCTTCCACCTGCACGCCCGCCGGTCCCCACCCCGACGACATCGACCTCCACGCCCACCGGCCGCCCAACCCCGACGAACTCGTCTCCTGCGTCCCTCAAGCCCGCACCGGCGGCGCTCGCCTCGGTGGCACAGGGGGAGGAGGACGACGAAGAGAAGACGGAGGTGGATGACGGCGGTGGCGGCGGCGGCTGCGCGCGGACGCCGGATTTGGGGTGCCCCTACTACTACGCTCCACCGAAGACGGTGACGACGACGCCGCCGCCGCCTCCTCCTGCGGCGTCGGCGGTTGGAGGGTGGGATTTCTTTAACCCGTTTTACGGGGCGCCCCTCTGCCGCCATCGCCGCCGCCGTGTCCACCTCCGCCGTCGTCTCGGAGCGCCGTTGCCGTCGGCGAGGCGAGCAGCCATCTCCGCCGCTGCCTCCCCCTCCCCCTCGTGCGCCGCTGCCGTCTCATCGCCGTCTTCGAGCGCCTCCGCCTCAGGGCCGGCCCAGCAGTGCGGCCGCACTAGGCCCTCAAACTCACAGGTCCCCCACCTAGCTCCGTAAGAATCGTAAAGAGCGATGCCAGAGCCGCTTATTCCAAAACGCGATACGTCTGAGATTGCCGCCGTGATGAGTATGCGATGCGAGGCATGTAGCGATTCCATCTGTTTTCGTTTCTTCTAATGGAAATTGGGAGATGACTTCTTTCCTTTCAAAAAGAAGAGTAGCGATCCCATTTATGCCATTGACTGTCGACTGTCGGGCTCGATTCTAGCGCCAGCCACCGTCCCCGGCCAGCCGCTCCACGAGCTGCCCTGAATCGGGACTGCTAGAGTGCAGCTGTGCAAGAAACGGGCTCACTACCAATCTGCTCATCTGCATATGACATAGGGGGTAAGCAGCAGCAATACAGTGTTGTCATCGTTGCCAATTGCTTCTGTTGTTAGTAACTGACATCTTTGGCTTCATCAGCTCTCTATTTCTTGTTCAGAGGTTGAGCTTGCACGAAGTGGTGTTCGGCGTGTGTTGTCGACTAACTTACCGTGCCCATCCATGGTCTAATTAATCAGGAATATTTCATAGCTTTGTAATTTACTGCCATGTTATGGACTCACTAATATATTGTTTTTTTAATTACCAGCCGTCCTGATATCATGTTATTGAGAAAGTTTGTATCGGGTAAAAGAAAATGATAAATGAGTTTATAGAATAAAGTAAGGGGCCAATGTATGAAAAACTGTTGGATGAGATTGATATTGATATCATCAACAATAGTTTCACATATAGAAATATTTGAAGAAATTTTTAGATAATTCATGTAAATACTAATTTGTATTCAGGTTGTTTTTTGCCAGATGTGGTCTCCATGCGGTCGGGGTGAGGTCTTGACCAGGCTGACAGGTGGAGAAGCTTGGCGTGCCTTGATGAGATCTTCCTCATGTCCATCACCCTAGGCCGCAAGCGGCGCCATTGGCTTCTTTGCCAACACAGGGTCTGCTCCGCCAACGTTGTTGTGTGAGTTACCTTCTTCCTCTCTGTTTTCTTTATCCCTTGTCAAGCAACCAAACCCTGACATGCTGACGATATCATGCAGCAATTGTGTATTTGAGCATGTTGATTTTGTGTGTGATGTGTAATCTGCAAGACTGCAACAGTTGATCCTATGTTGATGACAGTAATACTATGGGAGGGAGGGAGAAGGTAAGCTAATCAAGAGCGATCTTGTTTTTTTTTGGGCATAATCAGGAGTGTCATCGAGGTGAAGCTTGGCAAGCTCAAGTGCATCAATGATGATTGCGCTTATATTCCCAAGCTGCAGCTACGAGCATTGGCCCATTGTCATGGATCATCCCAGCAGACTGTGTGCCACCAAGTAGTAGATGATTGGCTGCTACATCCAGAGACGCTTGCCAAGGTTGTTGGACAGTGTTTCTCGCTTCGAATCTTTCACCTGATTATTGCTTTCAGATTCTTAACATGATTTCCCAATATTTAAATATTGACCTATCTTTGAAGGTGCCACAACGAGGAATAGGCCATGAAGAAGACATAATTTTCCCCATTTTGTTTGTTGGCTCTGTACTCTCAAGAAACTAGCTTCCAGAGTATGATTTTTTTTTTTGTTTCAATATTATGTACATTGTCTTTTTTTTTTGTTTTTTTTTTTTTTTGGGGGGGGGGGGTGAATTGTAGTCAATTAAGACAAATAGCAATATGATATGTATTTTATGAGAAATCAATGGTGCGTTGCTTGATCTGGGAGAGGCACATCTCTGTTGGTAATCAGGCAAATCCACATGTTATTCTTTACTTTTACTGATTCAAGTAGTTAATGGCTTAATGCCGACAATGTCTCATAGTTACATCATTCGATGATAGATTATCACATCACCTGAAAATCCAGGCTGAAATGACTATAAACTAATTTACAGAAAGTATCAAGGATTGACCTATGTGGTGGTTGCGTATGAACCTGTGTGTGCTTCTATTATTGATCAACACACAAATGTATATTTTTCCATGAAGTTACATAAGCATGTCTAGCTATCTTTTTCAATCGCAAATAGTCATAAACATCTTGTTTTAAACAATAATCAGGGTTGTATTATCGCGATAGGTGCATGGAGGCCTGAGGAAGTTGCTCACTACTAATGTCAGAATCCACATGAATCATCTATGCAGGTATAGTTCATTTTATTGAACAAATACATTATTTATGTGAAAACCATCTTGGTGTCTAGATGTACGGTTGTTTACATGCTCTTGCCATAGGTCCTGTACTGCTTCGAACTGCAAGGAACTGGCAGTACAACCTGATCTTAATGGTTTTCTTGTCAGTGGAGCTTCATTGAAGGTAAAGAGGAATACAAACATATTAGAATAATTGTGTAGACACAATTACCTGCCTGATTCACTGAATACCGTCTTCTTTCTTGGTTGTGTACCCTGAATTCATTTACATTATCAACTCTAGCACGGTGATGTTTTGCCTAAGATCTTCACCCTTCTCACCTCGGCATTGAAAAATGCCTGAAGAGGAACATACCTTTTTCCGTTTGACTTTAAAGTATGCTATGCAACTATTAATGCTTTTATTTATTGTATAAAGGAAACACCAGTGTATTGGCTTGCCATATTTAGTCAGTAAACTCTTGAGATGAGTTATTTAGCAACATTAGGAATCATCAATCAATATTGGCATGAAAGCAACCATCATGATAATCATGTTAGTTCAGTTTTCATCTTGAAATACCTATGCTCTTCGATGTGAGCAAATTTTATTTCAGTTCTGCTTGGGATAATCAATTATTTACAGCTAGCTAATTATACTATTGAAACATCAATATCCTATATACTTTGTCACATGTTTTGGTTCTTATATATGCAGCATAGCTGATATGAATCTGGCATTTTTTTATTGTGTGCAACGATGCAAAGTATGGCCTCATAAGATCCTTCGATACATCGCGAGCAACGATGCAGCGTGGCTTAGTTGTTTTGTGTCTTTTGGCTTCAAACCATCTTTTTGAAGAGAAAAAGGGTCTCAACCTTGGATCTGCATATGAATTTAGCTGATATGATTTTTTGGGGCAAGTTTTGTTTTCTGTGTTGTTTCATCATTGATGCAGCAGTACCATTCATTTGATATATTGCCCTTAATGGTTCCGATGTTGACCACTTATAAAAGGTATCATGCATCTATCTATCTATACTTCTAAAGCTGGCTGGTCATCCAGCCAGCTGATTGGACCACGTGGCACAGCTATATTTGCAGATAAATAGATGGATTAGCACTGTAAAAAAAAAGTAAAAAAAAATAGCGTTCAATTCAGTCCCTCTGGATCAATCTAGGTGGCTACCGAAACAACAGCCGCTCCTCCGTCCCTCCGTAGCTGCTGGGCTGCACAGCCCAGTGATGCACGATTAGGCTTGGTAGTTTGGACGAATGGTTCCCCTCCGTCCCTCACAGCCTCACGTGTAGGATTTGTGGCACAAGTTTGTGCTGCTCCTCTGCTAATCGCATGAGTAGGAGCTAGCATAAATAGAAGAAAATAAAAAAAAAGAGAAAATTAGAAAGTGAGAAAGAAATAAATAAAGAAGTAAAAAATACTACTCTCCGTGTTTTTATAGATAACGCTATTCACTTTTAAATATCACATTTGATCATTTATCTATCTACTACTACTTAAAAAAATAAATAAGAGGTGCTTCCATCGTCCGTCAAAAAAACCGGGTGAAAAAAAACCGGGCAGAAAAAACCAAGTTTGTCCGATAAAAAAACCGGACGAAAAAAAAAGTCCGATCCAAAAAAAAGTGAAAAAAAAACCGGGCGAAAAAAACACCCGTCCCTGGCAAAAAAACACCCGATCCCTTAAAAAGGGAAAAAAAAGTCCGAGAGACAAACCGTTTAATGAATAAAAAAAGCGAAAAAAAAAGAGTCCGATTCCCTGGAGAAAAAAAATCTGATTTCCCTGGAAGAGATCCGATCTGTATTGGATTGGAGAAAAGAAAAAAAACACTTCTCTAGGTGCTTCTGTCGTCCGTCAAAAAACGGGAGAAAAAAACCGAGCGAAAAAAAAAGAAAAGTCCGATAAAAAAACCTGGCGAAAAAAAACCGGGCGGAAAAAAAACAAATATGTCCGACAAAAAAAAAGGAAAAAAAAGGAAAAAATACCGAAACGAATCCGACTACATCGACGCGGTAAAAAGAGTTTAAAAAAATAAAAAGAAAACTGTCCTATTCCAAAGAAAAATGAATTATATGTATCGTGGAGAAAAAAAAAAAAGAAGAAAAGTCCGATAAAAAAACCTGGGCGGAAAAAAACCGGGTGGAAAAAAAACAAATCTGTCCGACAAAAAAGAAAGCAAAAAAAGGAAAAAAATCGAAACGAATCCGACTACATCGACGCGGTAAAAAGAGTTTAAAAAAATAAAAAGAAAACTGTCCTATTCCAAAGAAAAAGGAATTATATATATCGTGGTAAAAAAATCGACCGGGCGAAAAAAGAAAAAAATAGTCCGATCCGAAAAAAACAGGAGAAAAAAAATGGGCAAAAAAAAATTTGTCCGATAAAAGAAAAGGAAAAAGCTGAAAAGAATCTGACTCCATCGACGCGGTAAAAAAAGGCGAAAAAAAACTTTCCGATAAAGAAAAAGGAATTATATGTGACGCGGTAAAAAAAAATAAAAAAACCAGGCGAAAAAAAAGATAAAAGTCCGATAAAAAAACGGGGCGAAAAAAAAAACAAATCTGTCCTATCCAAAAAAAGCCAAAAAGGGGAAAAATCAAAACGAATCCGACTCCGTCGACGTGGTGAAAACAGGGCGAAAAAATTCCAAAGTAAAGGGAGAAAAAAAATCAAAACGAATCCGACTCCGTCGACGCGGTAAAAAAAGGGTGAAAAAAATCCAAAGTAAAAGGAATTATATGTGACGCGGTAAAAAAAATCGATCGGGCGAAATAAACCGGGCAAAAAAAATCTGTCCGATCCAAAAAAAAGGGGAAAAAATCAAAACGATTCCGACTCCATTGACGCGATAAAAAAGGGCGAAAAAATTGTCTGTTTCTAAAGAAAAAGGAATTATACGTGATGCGGTAAAAAAAATCGAATCCTATTATATCTAGAAAGGTTTGACACTATGTGAAAGTGGTGAAAAAAACCCTTCGTAAAAGAAATGCACGAGAAAAAAAATTAAAAGGACGGAAAAAAGCGCGGAGGAAAAAAGTCAAATTTATATTCGTCGTTTTTTAGTCCATTTATATATCTTCTTTATCTCTAATCTAATCTAATCTAACTATAAAAAGAGAAGTTTCTACAGTATATTAAAAAAGGAAAAAATGCGCGAGAAAATAAAAACGGTTTAAAAAAACACGTGAGGGAAAAATGCAGAAAAAAGCACAAAAGAAAACGCGCTAGAAAATAAAGTTTCGTAGTTCTAATTTTCTGATTGTTATCGACATGGTTATGCATGAAAAACGTATATTATCATTACGTTTTTTCACCCGTTGCAACGCACGGGCATATTTGCTAGTCTTATTAAAAATATCCAATAGGTATAAGTGATATTTGAAGTATCTTTAATAATAATAAATGATACTTGCATAGCTTTCTTAATAAGACAAACGTCCAAACGTTATATTCAAAAGTCAACACTATCATCGTAAAAAAATACATGAAGGGTCTCATCTTTTTGCATATGCTTATGTATATCAGCTAAAATTTTAATTTTTCAACTTTAAGTTTGGAGTTGATTTTGGGTGTTTTTCATGGTAGTTTATTTTTGAGTAAATTTCACAAAACTACATGTACTTTGCTCAAATTATCACAAAACTACATATTTAAGGTGATGTATCACAGAACTACAGATTTAACAATAAATTTATCATAGAACTACAGGTTTAAGGCTAAGTATCACAAAATTACAGATTTAATAATAAAATTATCACAAAACTACAGATTTTGAGGCTTAAATCCTTAGCACTAATGTTATGTTGGACTTATAATTGATCAATTAATGTGATTAAATTGTCATTAAACCTGTAGTTTTGTGATAACTTTGTTACTAAATCTGTAGTTTTGTGATATTACATCTTAAATCTGTAGTTTTATGATAAATTTAGCGTTAAATCTGTAGTTTTGTGATACATCATGTTAAATCTGTAGTTTTGCGATAAATTGATCAAAGTACCTATAGTTTTGTGAAAGTTACTCTTTATTTTTCAGCTTTTTGCTTTTATGTTTTTAAGAACACGTATATAAAAGTCTTATTCATAAATCGTATATAAAAGTCTTATTCATAAATCATTTATCGTTTGTAAATATGCCATTAGCCAAACGATGGGGCATGAAGTATTTTAAAGAGTAAATTTCAGAAAACTGCAACTTAAGTGACAAATGTATCAGTTTGCTGCAACTTTAGCAACATGTTTCAGTTTGCTGCAACAATAGCACGGGAAATTATCACAAAACTGCAACTTTTACGTTATATGTTGCTACAGTTGTCACATATATGTACTGTAGCAGCATATAACGTAAAAGTTGCAGTTTTGTGATAATTTTACACGCTATTGTTGCAGCAAACTGAAATATGTCGCTAATGTTGCAGCAAACTGATAGTTTTGTCACTAAAGTTGCAGTTTTCTGAAATTTACTCTATTTTAAATCCTTAGATAAATATGATATGCTGTATGTTAAGTGAAAAAAGCAAATGTGAAATTAAGATCGGATCCAACTTTGCATTCCGGAGAACCGTATCTCAAATATTTGTTCTATGGTACTCCTTTGATCCCAAAATATAAAAACTTCTAACAATTTTGAAACCAATCAAGCTTGAAGACAAAAGTCTGAAATGGCCTAGATTAAACAAGCAGGACAACTCCTCATTGACATAATTGGCAGCCGCTTCTGAGCTAATCCATGTTGATTACCAGAAACCATGGATAAATTTGTTACTTATGGTGTTGGGCCTATTAAAGTCATTAGACAAAATTTAAAGGCGAGAAGTCCATGTATTTTTGGTATTTTGGGACGAGGGAGTATATAGTCTAATTATTACACAAAACTTTTATAAAATCATTATTACCTTCAACCCAAAATATAAGACACAACCTTTTCTTTTCTAATGTTTCATAATATAATGCGCACATACATGCATGTAATTAATTAGCATCTTTCTTCTAAATTCATTTTATTTAAAATCATCCACCTTTAAGATCTCTAATCCTATTAGGTGTAAACATTATATTTATTGAAGTGGTACCAGAATGTGATAATAGTATTGTATTTATAGAGGGAGTACAACACAAACTTAAACCAACAAAATTAATGACAAGCATAAATTACTACCCTACCTGATTGGTCTTAATTTTCACTGGACACAAAATTAAAATCCATTAGGAGGTCCATTTCAATTCATGATTTCTACATAAAATCAAACTAGCTCATGGCCTTCCAAAATTTATATACTGTAGATGAGCTCTAATTATGCACTGTCTATAAACTAAAGCGCGCCAAATGGCGCGCCTATTTTCTAGTATATTTCTTTTTTTTATTTCCTATATCTGGTGGTTGTGTCATGCAGGCTTCGGACATGAGCAAGTTAAGGTACTCTCAATTGCATTATAAGCTCAATTTGTGCCATTTAGTTCTATTGATGTAATCTCTAAAATTTTGTTAGTGGAGCACTTCAAGTTGCTTATGAGGAAGACCAGGTAGATGGTAGTTGTAATTCTACTTTCACCTAAAATCACTTTTTAATGCTTTTATTGATGAGGATCTCCTCTTTTAATACCACTAAGTGTATAGCTATTTGGTAGAGGTTTTGGTAAAAAAAAAAAGTTGGTCCCTCCAATCAACAATTTTCGATGTTGGGAGTTTTTAGTTCAGTACTCTAGAATTCTAAAGTTGGATACACATATCCATGCATACTGCTTTAGAGATCATAGCCTCTGCTTGGTAGTATGCCACAATTTTTTCCCTAATGTTTGTTTTAGTTCAAACGTTAAGTGGACATGCTCTTATTTGCAGTGGTTTTCACGGATGCAGAGCTATTGGAATTTGGAACAAACTCCTTTGATTATATGTTATGGACAACAATAAGAACTTCAAAAGTAGGTTTTGTGGACACATTTTTGGGTTGTACTCATCATTTTTTGCGATATAATTGTCCAGGCGTTGGCATCAGTTTTTTCATACTACATTGGACGGTTGAATTGTTGATGCCTCGGTGCATAATGTGTGGCTCACCTGGGAGGTTCCAAGGTGTTCTATGTTCTCCACATCCTTCTTTTAAAGGCAAACCTCTAAGGCTGTGTTCGCATGCACCTTTTCCCATTCCCTCTCCTTCGTTTTCCGCGCGCACGCTTTTCAAACTATTAAACGGTGTGTTTTTTGCAAAAAGTTTCTATACGAAAGTTGCTTAAAAAAATCAAATTAATCCATTTTTTTAAAAAAATTAGCTAATACTTAATTAATCACGTGTTAATGGACCGCTCCGTTTTCCATGCACAGGAGTTAGGTTCCCATCTCCCCCATCCGAACTCAGCCTAAGTGTTCTTCTACTTCTTGATGAAGCTACCGCTGATATATATAGTCTTGTTATTTCTATCAATAATAGCCCTGAATTTGTTGTATACAGTGGTCATGACTTTATATGGAATGACGGAATGACCTTGTGGGTCTTGGTTTTTTAAATCACTCCAACAAACGTTATATGTGTTGTTTGGTTAATTTTATGAGTGTTTTGAGCTAAGGATATAATCTCTAATAACGAATTCCATGCGCGTTCTCGGCCAGATAGCCCCGCCACGTGGCGTCGTACAATTGATGGAATTGGCTCTCACCCGCATCCGTTGGATAAGAAATCAATGGTATAGAGAAAACAATGGATCTAACTGTAAAATATTAATTTTCAAGGGGGGTAAATGGAAAAGATGGCATCCCTTCTGGAGAAATCGTGTCCTGTTGCGATTTCTCGATTTCTCCTCGCCTCTTCCTCCTCTGCTCCTCCGGCAAGTCACGAGCCATCCCCGACGCCGGCCGCCGCCGCTCCGCATCAGCGCCGTCCCTCGCCGCCCTTCCGCACCAGCGCCTACCCTCACCGATCCGGTGATCCCCATCCCCTAGAAACCCTAGCCCACAGCGCCGCCCTCACTCCACCTCTCCTGTGCGTACGCATCTCACGAGCCGAGCGCCGCTGCCTCCTACTCGCCCCCTTTCCGTCCGTCTGCCTCCTTCCTTTCCGGTGCGCTCGACCCGGCGGGCCAGCGGTTGAGCTTGGCGCAGCACTCGAGTGGGATGGCCGGCCGAGCGCTGGGGTTGGACTCCGCTGGCATAGTGGTCGATCCCATCCGTCGCCGTCAACATAGCTGCATAATCAGTTGGGCGATTTTTGTTTGATGTCCATAGCTAATCCTAGAATTAGAATTGTTCTTCGGTGATTTTGTTCTTCGTTGATCCTGTGAGTCTATTAATATATGAAAAACCATAAGTGCGGTTGATAAGGAACCTTGAGAAAGCTTGATCTGTTGCTCAAAAACATCCAGGACTACCACAAGCATGTTCTGCTGGTACTGTACAGTGTACACAGACCTTGGCTGTAGGTACCTACGTTTTTTTTTTTAGAGAAGGGTATTTTTTACCCAGCCTCTATATTCAACCGGATATATACGGCCATTGAAATAGGGAACTTAGCCCCACAAACAACCCAATCTGAAATTCGCTCCATAGAAGATTTGAACTCAGGACCTTGGGGTACTACTCAGGTCACTGTAACCACTAGGCTGTAGGTACCTACTGATCTTTCAGTATCTAATGCAGAAAGTGAAAGTGTTCCCATCCAAAGTCATTTACCATATGGTCATTGATTTCTGTAGATGGATTATTTACTGCCCTCCTTATTGCTGCCCTTTCTTGCTTCTCGATATTATTTGTTCATATCATTGTTTTGTTCTATTTATTTCTTTTTGCAGATGTTATTGAAAAAATTATTGCTGTCTCCATCTCCAATGCAGCAATGATATCTACAAGTTCATCAGATTTTAGGATGAGAAGATTAGAGCCTATATTATCCAATAAAATAAGGTAATAAGTATCCCTATTTATTTTAAATATTTCTGTTAGTATTGCATAATATTTAATACTTTATTTTTTTCATGTAGAGCTCATCTTCACAAATGGAGTCACCTCAAGATATTCGGATAATGATAGTTGAGCCATGTCATTTGGACACAACCAACATCTTAAGCAAACAAACCTATGAAAACAACAATAATCTGGTACACAACTGCACATATTTCTTTTTTAAATATACTGACGAGACAAGGAAAATATCCATGTAACTGTAGATATCTTTTGGGAAAGGTATACTAACATATCATGATTCCTCTTTGCTTCTCTATTCTATTACAGTGAACATTGCAGGGTGTGGTGGTCTAATTATGTTCAGCTAATAAGTCATGGTAGACTTTTATAAGTATCCTTAAAATTTGGAATATTCAGCGAAAGAATCATATATATGACCCTTATAACTACACCTTTATGCACCAGGTAATTCCACACACTTACTCTCTTTGAATAGTTCTCATATATTTAATAGCTTGATGTTTCAAGCGTGAGAAAAAACTTGGATTTTCTGGACAAAAAAAAGCTATATACTTGTATGCATTGTGGTTGATGTTGTCTTTGACTTACTAATGGCAAACATGATTACATGTTCTTGGAACTAATTTTGAGTCATGACTGAGCAGGGTAATGTATATGCTGTAGTAAGAATTGCATTTATTCGAGATAGAGTATACAGGTATATCCTAGAGTAAGAATTGCATTGCTGATCTAACGAAAAAAAAATTATTTGACACGTTCTTTGTACTTTGAATCAATGATGTTAAGCTTTTTTTGTATACCACAAATGTGCCTTGCATGCTCTCTACAATTATATGACAGTAACAAACTAGAGAAGATGTTTGGGGTTTGCCTGTTGTGTTCACTGGAATGATTTTGTAGTTGAAAGTAAATTTGAAGCTTTCATATATAAGCAAGCTGTGATGATTCTTTATATAATCTTAGTATTATGAAATTTAACTGTTTGGCACAACCTTGTTGTCCTTGAGTCCTGAAAACTCCAGCAAAATATTGTTGTGATTAGAATTAGGTACAGGCATCTGATTAAGTTATTGTAAATCACATCCACCATCTGATTTGGTGAAGGTATCCCTAAAACAAACAACATGGATACAAATTAATCACCTTACAAAGGATGATTCCTCTATCTTCACAGAGAATGATTCCTCTTATCTTTACAAAGTTAAAAAAAAAATACATCACTTGCAGCAAAAAGAGTTTCTTCTCTACATAGTTCAAATATATTATGCTGAAGAACATTATTATATAGTACAATTTATATACTTTGGAGTCATATATTAGTTTTGTGAAACAATGAAGCAAATGTAATCCATCTAATAAAATGTTTTATGATACCATTTACTTATTATTTATATTATTGCTTTTCTCAGTATTTACTATTATAAAGGATGTTGATTCACTGTTTCTTAACTGCCTTAATTTTCTAGGTTTTTACTTTAGATGTTCCATGACAACCATATAATCATTCAATATATTACATAAATATTTATACTATTATTATCCCAGAAAAGTAGTAGTGAAGAAGAGTAGAAAACACTGATTATCATTTGATTCAAACAAACAGTAAATAAGCGCTCTGCCTGATAACATATCCGATAAAAACTGCATACTTTTGTTATATGGATTATGCACAGCACTAACTTTTGGTGTATTTATAGCAGATGCATTACATGTCCATCGAGAAAAGCGACGATTCAAAACCTATACTCATCTAGCTAGCTTAATTTATTAGAAAATTGAAATAGGGCTTTATCAAAAGCTTTGATCATTTCAGGTCCTGAACAATGTATGTCTATATAATAGACAGTTTATATTTATATATTCAATAATCTACAATATGTCTAAGTACTAGACTAAAGTAATGCAAAATTATGGTTACCTACTATTGAGATGGCTCTCATAAAGTTCCAGTTTAGATGTTCAATTATCATTGATTAATCAATTGCCGGCTTTATCTATTTACATGCTGAAGTACTCCACTGTACTCATTTCAATGACTTTGTCATATACATGTAACATTTTATTACAATTTGTTCCTGGATCTGGAATTCCTGATTCGATTGGGCACTATTTCATATAGTGCTGGGGCTGTCTCCTAAATAGTTTTACCATCCATAAACTGAAATTTCTATCTGTTGAAAATGGCGATTAAACGGAAAAGAATCATTTCTGTAGAACAGCACGATGGTTAAACATGGAACTGAGAGTTTTTTTTTTTCAGAGGGGAACTGAGGATTTCGGGCTTTGCAATATGAGCATATGCCAATCAGAACATGATTAGTGCCCTATTTAGCTGATGATGATGATAAGGCTTAATAATACGGTGTACACTGCGTTCAATTGGGCTGGCCTACGTATACTTCCGCGCGAAGCAGCGGTTACTTTCTAGTATATGACGATTTAGAGGTGCAATATTAGCTTTAAGATCTTTCTTACCATTTTGTTTGTCTTACATAATCATCCATACACATCCATACAGTTTCAACACAAGTAATTTAACTAGTTGTGTAGGATCTGTCTATACATCACTCAGACAGATTTTATTATTATTATTACTAGTAGTAGTATAGTGTAACAAACAAAACAAATCTTTATCTTTACCTATTATAAAAGTTTAAGGTGTTTTTGCCAGTAATTTTCGTACGTCGTCCTGTTAGCGCACGATTTTTTTTCCGAGTCCGTTCCCGTATAGCGAACCAATCCAGATCGCTATCGCCCAAATTTCCCATCCGATTCCCACCCAGATTGCTCCCTCCCAGATCAGTTCAAACCTATTTTGCTCATATCTCAATCCAAACATCACAAAAACTCCAAACATAAGAACACCCCATATTACATCCAAACACCACAAGAAGAACACTGCATACATCTATTGTCCGTCTCACTCACAACCGCTTCGCTCCCATCCCATACGCACGTACGGATCAAACATGCCCCTTGAACTAGATATCAAATCCGATCCAAATAAATCACAAAATCACAAATCCATTGAATTACAAAATCGCAAATCCAACAACAATGAATCAAAATCTTCCAATAAAAATTATATCACCGGTGCCATTGTTCATCGGAGCCGAGGACGCCGCTGCCCCGAGGCCGTGGTGGCTTGGCGGCGCGCCGCCGTGCGCCCCGAGGAGGGTGCCGCCGTGAAGAGGGTGCCACTTCTGTGCCAGAGAAGAGGATTCCTCGGACGCCACCCGCCAGGGAAAGGGCACCGCTGGCTGGGGGGGCGCCGACCGCCAAGGGGAGGGCGCCGCCCCTCGGGGGAAAGGCGCCGCTGGCCTGGTGGAGGATGCCACGTCTGAGGCACCGGGCGCCGTCGGCCGGGAGGTCGCCCTGGCTGAGGGGTAGGAAGAGCGGTGCCGCCGGTGGGGGGAGGAGGAGGGGGACTGGGGGAGAGGGTGTTGGAATTAATGAATGGGCCTTAGCCCACTCGAAGATTAATTCTTTGGAAAATCACAAAAGCCCACCTCATGGGATGGCATGCATGTGGAGTTTAGTACCACCTTGCTTATTCTAGGAGAGGGGGACCTCCTTAAAAGGGAGGATGCCCTCCTAGCCACTTGAAGCATGTGTGGTGGAGAGAAGAGGGGAAACACGCGCGCGCTCGCTCGCCTCGCCAGGCAGGGCAGGCGGCGCGCGTGCACGACGTACGTGTCGAATGGTCCGAAAAATTGGCTCCTCACCCTTGCGCAGATGCAGCCTCCTTTTGCAGTTTTGTTTTGCTGCAAATTCGGATTCGTTTTTGTTTTGGAAACGTTCCGAAAAATCCGGTGCGTGCAAACGGCGTGGAGTCCGGATAAGTTACGCGCGACTTATCCGGTTCGGTTACGCGCAGTAGAGATCGTGCGGGCGCCCTGATCAACCGACCCTTCTCTATATAAACCGACTTGCCGTCTTCACGCAACACTTGCGAAATCAATCTAGGGTTTGTCTCCTACTCTGTACTGCGCCGGCGCTCGTAGACTACTCCATCCCGCTCGCCGGCGTGCACCGGCGATTGGGAGAGCAGGTCTCCGGAACCTCTGCCTTCGACGTTCTGCACCGGGAGAAGGCGGCAATAAGGTTTTTGGGAAGCGCTTCGCGCGACTGCTCCCTGTTCGTTCGCGACGGCTCGCCTTCCTCTTCGCTCGCGTGTTTCGTGCCTTCGTAGACACCTGCGAAAAGTTTCGACCTAGCAACCGGTCTTTCCGTCACCTCGGTACGTGTTCAATATGTTGCGCATATTTGATCTGTTCATGTTGTACTGTGTAGTTTACATGTATAGATCTAATGATGCGTTCATGCTAGTTTTCATCTGTAATGTCATGATTTATTTATGGAATAGATTAAATCATTATATGTCTATAATCTCAACAATCCAAAAACCTTATTATAGGCACTGTGATTTTACTATGGCTGGTTTTGCCGATGCACTGAGGCCGGATAAATTCACCGGTGTGCATTTTAAGAGATGGCAGATCAGGGTCACTCTGTGGCTGACAGCTATGAAATGCTTCTGGGTGAGTACTGGCAAACCTGAAGGAGTTCTTACTGCTAAACAGCAGAAGCAATTCGAGGAAGCCACTACTCTCTTTGTGGGATGCATTCTTAGCGTTCTTGGCGATCGTCTGGTCGAGGTGTATATGCATATGACCGACGCTAAGGAGTTGTGGGATGCACTGAATACTAAATTCGGTGCTACTGATGCTAGCAATGATCTGTATATCATGGAGCAGTTTCATGACTACAAAATGGCTGACAACCGTTCTGTAGTCGAACAGGCTCATGAGATACAAACCATGGCTAAGGAACTCGAACTCCTTAAGTGTGTCTTACCCGACAAATTTGTGGCCGGGTGCATTATTGCAAAACTACCTCCATCTTGGAGGAGTTTCGGTACTGCACTCAAACACAAGAGACAGGAATACTCCGTTGAGGGGTTGATTGCGTCTCTTGATGTTGAGGAGAAAGCTCGGGAAAAAGATGCCGCGTCTAAGGGCGATGGTGGGCAGTCCAGTGCCAATGTTGTGCACAAGGCCCAGAACAAGAGCAAGGGGAAATACAAAGCTCAGCAAACCACCAACTTCAAGAAGCAGAAGAAGAACAACAACAATCCTAATCAGGATGAGAGGACTTGCTTTGTGTGTGGCCAAGTTGGTCATCTGGCTAGGAAGTGTCCACAGCGCAAGGGGATGAAGGCACCTGCAGGGCAGACTTCTAAGTCTGCTAATGTGACCATTGGCAACACTGGAGATGGAAGCGGGTATGGTAATTTACCTACTGTTTTTTCAGTTAATCAATCTACTAATTGGTGGGTTGATACTGGGGCCAATGTACATGTTTGTGCTGACATCTCATTGTTTTCTTCTTATCAGGTCGCACGGGGTTCCACCGTCCTAATGGGGAATGGGTCACATGCTTCTGTTCATGGTGTTGGCACGGTAGATCTGAAGTTTACTTCGGGAAAGATCGTGCAGCTGAAGAACGTGCAGCATGTCCCTTCTATCGACAGGAATCTTGTTAGTGGCTCCCGTCTGACTAGAGACGGATTTAAGTTGGTTTTTGAGTCTAATAAAGTAGTCGTGTCTAAACATGGATATTTTATTGGTAAAGGTTATGAGTGCGGAGGCCTGTTCCGCTTTTCCCTTTCTGATTTCTGCAATAAGTCTGTGAACCATATTTGTGGCAGTGTGGATGATGAGGCTAATGTTTGGCATTCACGTTTATGTCATATTAATTTTGGCTTGATGTCTCGGCTTTCCAGCATGTGTTTAATTCCTAAGTTTTCCATTGTCAAAGGTTCTAAGTGCCATAGTTGTGTGCAATCGAAGCAACCTCGCAAGCCTCACAAGGCTGCCGAGGAGAGAAACTTGGCACCACTAGAACTCCTACATTCAGATCTTTGTGAAATGAATGGGGTGTTGACGAAGGGTGGAAAACGATATTTCATGACATTGATTGATGATGCTACTAGATTTTGCTATGTGTACTTGTTGAAAACGAAAGACGAGGCTCTAGACTATTTTAAAATTTATAAGGCAGAAGTTGAAAATCAACTTGACAGAAAGATAAAAAGGCTTAGGTCTGATCGTGGTGGAGAGTTTTCTCGAACGAGTTTGACTTATTCTGTGAGGAACATGGCATCATACATGAGAGGACGCCTCCCTATTCTCCCGAGTCTAATGGGATTGCTGAAAGGAAGAACCGCACACTGACTGACTTGGTGAATGCCATGTTGGACACCGCGGGACTGCCTAAGGCATGGTGGGGGGAGGCATTGTTGACCTCAAATCATGTGTTAAACAGAGTTCCTAACAGAAATAAGGACAAAACACCATATGAGATATGGATTGGTAGAAAACCATCACTTTCTTATTTGCGCACATGGGGGTGCTTGGCGAAAGTCAATGTACCAATAACGAAGAAGCGCAAACTTGGACCTAAGACTGTGGACTGTGTTTTTCTGGGATATGCTCATCATAGCATTGCCTATAGATTTTTAATAGTTAAATCCGAGGTACCGGACATGCATGTTGGTACAATTATGGAGTCTCGTGATGCTACCTTCTTTGAGAGCTTTTTCCCAATGAAGGATACACATAGTGGTTCGAACCAACCCTCTGAAATAATTCCCAGTTCAATCACACCACCAGAACAAACTGAACATACACATGAACTTGTCTCTGAGGAGGATGTCAGTGAAGCTCCTCGAAGGAGTAAGAGACAAAGGACGGCTAAGTCTTTTGGTGATGATTTCACTGTGTACCTCGTGGATGACACTCCTAAGTCAATTTTAGAAGCATATGCATCTCCTGATGCAGACTACTGGAAGGAGGCTGTCCGTAGTGAAATGGATTCCATTATCGCTAACGGGACTTGGGAGGTGACAGAGCGACCCTATGGGTGTAAACCTGTGGGGTGCAAGTGGGTGTTCAAGAAGAAGCTT